CTAACTATTCGCTGGGCGGTGGTGACACTTGCCTTTATCCCAGCACATGGGAGGCAGAGGCAGGCGGATTTCTGAGTTCGAGGCCAGCCTGGTCTACAGAGTGAGTTCCAGGAGAGCCAGGACTACACAGAGAAACCCTGTCTCGAAAAACAAGAACAAAAGCAAACAAACAAAAAAACTAACTATTCAACACATCTAATGACCTTAGTTTGATCTCCAGAACCTATACCGTGGAAAAAAAGAGAGCTGATTCTGCAAGTCGTCCTCTGACCTCTCTCTCTCTCTCTCTCTCTCTCTCTCTCTCTCTCTCTCTCTCTCTCTCCTTCCCTCTTTCTGTCTCTGTCGCTCTCTCTTATACACACACAAACATACACACACACACACAGGCAAGTAAGTATATTTTAAAAAAGATTTCATTTTAATGTGTGCACGCTCATGTGTAGATGTGAGAGCAGTAGTTTGTCAGATCTCTAAAGCTGGAGTTACAGCCAGTGTGAGCCACCCGACATGGATACTGGGAACCGTACTTGAGTTCTCTGAAAGAGCAGGAGCACTCTTGGCTGATGAGCCATTCCCAAACCCCTAAAATAAAATATATATATATATAATAATCTATATTATTTATATAAATATTTTTGAGGATGTTAAAGTGGGGTTTTCAGCAGTAGGAGGCTGCTGACTCATGAAGAACCACAGGTGAGGAAGGACTGTGACCTGTTACCTCCAGCACTGTGGAGGAGGGAGATCAGGAATGTTGGGTGGGCAAAAGTGTCATGAATTGCCGGGCGGTGGTGGCGCACGCCTTTAATCTCAGCTCTTAGGAGGCAGAGGCAGGGGGATTTCTGAATTCAAGGCCAGCCTGGTCTACAGAGTGATTTCCAGGACAGCCAGGGCTACACAGAGAAACCCTGTCTCAAAAAAACCAAAGGGGGGAAAAAAAAGAAAGAAAAAGAAAAACCAAAAACAAACCAAAAAAAGAGTGTCATGAATTTAACTTTGTTGGGACAATCAGGGTGACACCCTGGCATTGGGATCTGAGCAAAGGAGACATGTGGGAACTTTACTGAAACCAGAAGGACACCAGGGAAATGGCTTTTTTTGGGGGGTGGGGTGGAATCTCAAGTAACCCATTCTGGGTTTAAACTTCCTACTTATCTGAGGATGGCCTTGAACTCCTGATTGCCCAGGACTCGTATGATGGGGTATAAAGATTTCCAGCCCAACAGCTCCGAAAAGTGGAGGCAGCAGCTTGAATAGTGAGGTTTGCATGAAATGGTCCCTTGAGCACTTCCTGACAGATACCCATGGTTGGGGAATGATATGAGCTTCTATATATTCGGGGAGGGAGGGGCTCACATACCTTCTTTCTCTTCCAAGAGGGGACTGTTAAGGGCAAATCCTCTGAGGGTCCTCCTGTAGGTAACCACAGCTGCTGGTTCTTTGTTAAGATTAACATGTGTGCATGCAGGAGTGTGAGTGTGTGTGTGTGTCCATATACATATGAGCACCATATGCATGCCTGGTCCCCTCAGAGAGCAGAATGGCCTGGAACCATAGTTACAGAGAATTGTGAGCTACCGTGTGGGTTCTAGGAACCAGACCCGGGTTCTCTATATGAGCAGCAAGTGTTCTTAGTCACTGAGCCATCTCTCCAGCCCTAACCTTTTTGAGACAAGGTCTTACCATGTAGTCTGGCTGGCCGGGAACACACATGCCTCTCTCCAGTGCTGAGATTAAAGGACTGTGCCACCATGCCCAGCACACTAGTCTAGACTAAGACAGCAGTAGCTGTTATGCCTGTCAGTCGGTGTTCTACAACACAGGGTCTTCCTCTGAATACCAGGCTGATCTTGAATTCCAAGCAGTCCTCCAGCCCCAGTCTCCAGAATGCCAGGAAACTGCGGCTGGTTCCTGTGTCCCTAGTTAACATGGTAGGAGGAGTCTCCTGAAAGGACTGAGGATTGTCTCCCAGGTTGGGAGTAGACAGTGGGATGTCACAGGTGACTGCGGCATCTCGAAGAGGTAGACATCAGAAACACTCACCAGGTTAGACTCTGGAGTTTATATCATACACACACACACACACACACACACACACACACACACACACGCTCACTCCAGCCATTAAACCAAAGCTGTAAGTCACTAACTAGTCATCTTTGATCAGAGCCAGACTGGAAATGGAAGAGACAGGGCTGTCAAAGCACAAAGGTCATTTCTCCTCCTGCCGAGCAGCTACCGCCAATTGTTCAAGCTGCATCCTACAGGAGAGTGCCTGCCGGTGGATGCCTAGTTGTGGTTCCTACCCAGAGATGCCTCTTTGATTTCTACACAAGATGGCTGAGGGTGGGGCAGCATACCAACCCTCCCTCCTCTAGCACCTCAGAGCTTTCAGGGATAGAAGTCATTTATTTGCTGTCCCCAGGGTCAGGATGAGTTCTAGTTCCGGGTGCCTGCTCTGGTAGGGTAGGTCTAAAGGCCAGAGCAAAGGGCGTGTGCCCCACCCCGGCTCCCCAGGCCAGGAATGATGGGTGAGTGCTGACTACAGGGAGGGATGAACATGCCAGCAATCCTTTCGCTGGCATGACAGAACAGGCCCCAAGGGAGTTGGGAGTAGCCAAGACTGAACATTTACTGGGTCACTTATCTCCACTGACCTCACCCCTGACCCTGTACACACTGAAACCACCTGTCCAAGGTCACTTGGCAAGAATACCTGGAATATCTTGGGTGTGACATGAACTGGGTGGCTGGGAGGACAGCTGACTAGGCAGTCTGGTAGACTTTCAGACTAGAACCTCGAGAAAGGCCAGCCAATAGCCTAGGTGACAGACCTTCAAAGTCTAAGAGGAATGGCTCCTGCCCGCTTCCCCGTTTGTGTTTCTTTGGTGAATCAAGGGGTTTTGGATTACTGAAACAGCTAAGAGGCCGGTAGAACAAGGAACAAGAGCAAAGCACTTCAGGTTGTCAAGTGTGAAGTGTGTACACACGTGCCAGTGAGCCTCCCAAAGACCAGGGTTCCGTGTGCGTTGTGATGCTCAGAACGGAACCCGACCCAATATAGCTTTAGCACCGATTAAATCAGGGTTCCTCCCGCTTAACTCACAGCTCGGCAATTTGGTTAGACTTGCTGGCCAGCAAACCTCAGGGAAGCTTGTCTCAGGCTCCCCGGTGTTAGGGGTTACAAGTGCATTGCCACATCTTTTATTAGACTGAGCCCCTCAGTCCCCTTTAAAGACAAGAGTCTGATGGAGCTAAGTGTAGCTTTTAATCCCTGATCTTCCTACCTGCACCTCCCAAGTGCGGGGACTGGGCTGGCTGCCACCCCTGCCAGTTGAGGAAGCACTAAACTCTCCTTTCCAGAAGCAGAGTGACTTGACAAAGACACAGAGAATGCTCTCCACTCTCTCCAGAGCCCAGGGCCCCAGGGTGGCAACTCCAAGGCCATTCACTGGCCTCAGCCTACCTCATCCTGCGCTGAGTCACAGGTCAGAAAGGAGGGGCAGGGAAAGGCACCAGGGTGGGACAAAGGAGGAAGTGGCGTGAGGGACGCCCGAGACGAGGGAAGGGCTCCAGCTCAGGCCACAAGCTGGCTCTCTGAGGGCAGAGGCAGGAGACAACAGGGTGGAGTGAACAAATCTTTATTAATGCACCCACAGTTACTGGGAGGAGGCCATGATGCTGGACACACCTGTTGAGAAGGAAACAACATGGTGAGTTTGTGAAGAGGGAAGAGGCACCTCCCAGGGAGCCGCTGTCCTTCCGGGCCGGTCACAGTCACCACAGAGGTAGTCTGGTGCTGTGGTTTAGTACTCTTGGACATGTTAATTGCTCTGTGCCTTGGTTTCCCTGTCTATACGGCCATCTATCTTTCATGATTGCAGAGTTACATGAGGAGCCTGAACACGTGTGGTACCAAGCACTGCAGGCATTTAGCCCTGGCCTGGTTCCCTAGCCATGTGCTGGACGCTAGCCTGGCTGGCGGCTCTCCACTGCGGACAGAACTGTGTAGAATTCTGAGAGCCAAGCATGGCAAACACTTTCTGTATAGGTAGGGTGCCCTGTGGGAAGTGACACAGCTCACTGCTGCTCAGCTTGGCTACTGACCCACTGGTGTCCCTCAAAAGAGCCAAAGTTGGGAGAATGGGGAGGAGCCCCAGCAGGAGGCGTGTCCCTGTCCCTCTCCACTTCATGACACTTGCTCTGACAGAAGGGTGAAGCAGGATACATAGCTAAATGCCTGTATCGCTTTAAAAATCTTTGTTACTACTTACTTATTTAAAGATAGTAGCTTATTAGGTAGCTGGCCTTGAACCCCCTGCCTCCTGAGTGCTGAGACTAAAGACAATTGCCACCGCCCCTGCTTTTTGCTCTTTTGAGGTAAGTCTGTTTACTCCAAGTATGACAGGAACCGCTGTCACCGCCACTCGCTCTGCGCCTGGCTCTTGGCTGAGTGCCCTACACGGTGATCTCCCGTCACATCCAACCTCCCAGGAGGCAGGCATTGTGCCATCTGTAATAGTTTCCAAGTTAGAACAAGAGCAGCTACCTTATGGTGGGACCAAATGACTCACTGTGAGCCACAGCCCTGAATGGACAAGTCTTTAATCCCAGCACTCAGGAGGGAGAGGTAGGCAGATCTCCGAGTCTGAGGCCGGCCTGGTCTACAGGAATGCCAGGGCAAGAGGGCGAGACCACGCCGCAGAGGGCTCGCATACGGCAGGGAAGGCTACCCAGCATCCCTCACTGATTCTCTCTGGGCTAGGAACCTGGACGGGTCAATGCAGTCTTGCAGACAGCTCTGCGGCCTCGGGCCGCCACTCACTGTCAAAGTCGATCTTCTCCACGATGTTCTTGGGCTTGATGCTCTCCTCCTGGCTGCAGATGAAGACCTGCCCCGACTCGTCGGTGCTCCAGCCATACTTGCTCATCCACACCTTCAGCTGGTTGTCTGCAGGTGACACGGGCAGAAGTGTGCGTCGGCTGCCCGAACCCTAACACCAGGGGCTTTGGAGGCGGGGGAGTTGGGGCTAACCAGGCCAAGCCCCCTTTGCCCAACTGCTCCACGCAACTCTTGCCTGGACAGCGGCAGGCTTGGAAGACATCCTTTAGGGCAAAGCCAGGGTTCTGGAGCGCATTCTCCACTTGGCCACCAGGGGGCGCATTAGCCTCTTTCTCCTCCTCACATAGGGGTTTGCTGTAGTGTTAATTTTTTATTTTTGAGACAGGATTTCATGTAGTCCTGAGTGGCTTGGACTCACCATGACTTAAACTCCTAATCCTCCTGATTCTCTCTCAAGTACCAGGATAATAGAGTGTATGCCTCCAGGCCCAGTTTCCCTCAGTTTAACAATACTTTCTATTTCCTTTAAGAACCATTTATTTAGCTGGGAAGTGGTGGTGCACGCCTTTAACCCCAGCACTTGGGAGGTAGAGGCAGGTGGATTTCTGAGTTTGAGGCCAGCCTGGTCTACAGAGTGAGTTCCAGGACAGCCAGGGCTATACAGAGAAACCCTGTCTCGAAAAACCAAAAAAAAAAAAAAAAAAAAAGAACCATTTACCATTTATTTCTTGGAGCCTGTGACCCACATACCACGGGTGCTGGGATCCTAAAACCTACCTCTGGATCAAGCAGGAAATGCTCACAACTGCTAAACCTCTTTCCAGCCCATCGCTGCTTTTTGCACTCAAGGGCTGAGGTTTTTGGTTTGGAGGGACCTTTTAAGGACATCATTCAGAGCAAGGCCAGTCCTTCTCAGAGCCGTCCTATGTCCTGTCACGGCAGAAGACAGGACACAGAAGTTCTCCAAAGACCTGTATGTGACTGGAAGGAAAGCTGCCTCCTCACCTGGAACCATGCACTTCTGGTTCCACGGCACATGTGACAGGCAGGCCCCTGCTGCAGGATGGCCGCACTGGCTTTCCGTCCGAGGTTGCCCACCTCGAGGCACTGGGGCCCTGGCAAATGCATCCCTCTAAGGCAGCCTCACTACCCTTGGCAGCACCGACTACAGGATGCAGACGCTTCCACTATGCTCCATCAGTGAAAAAGGCCTGAGCTCTTCTAGCCACTCATGGTCAGCATCAGGACCACTGTCTGACATGCGCATCCACTAACTGGCTGGTGCAGTCTCATGCTATAGCCCAGGCTGGCCAGTAACTCCAGGCAATCTTCTTGCTCCAGCTTCCTATATATAGCTGGGATGACAGGAGGACTGCACCACACCTGGTGAGGGTGTTTTCGAGGCAATGTCTCACTGCGTAGCTCTGGTTGGCCTTGAACTCATGGAGATTCAGAGAGCAGCATCCTATACCAAACCCTCACTCATACTCTGGGGTAGGTAATAACCTAGGAAAGGTGCGATGGGTCCCCCCCCCCCCCGAGCTGGCCCAGGCCCTAACCACCTATACCTCTCAGACTGACAGAAATAGCACCAGGCCTCACCAGTCAGGTCTCCGAGCATCTCAGCCAGCAGCCAGCGGTCGATGTGCTGGTACGTGATGCCCACCACATGGCAGATAACTGTGGAAATCAAAACAAAGACTGTCAGAGGCCGTTGGAACGTGGTCCAGGAATGTAGCTGTGTGAGAATTCTGAAGGCTCTTCTGTGCCCTTCCCAGGTATAGTGGACAGGAATGGGTTTGCTCCAGATCACAGCTTTTGTTATTCAAAAAACAATTCCGAGTACAGCTTTGTCTTCGTGGTTGTATATGGCTTGACTTTTGTGAACTTTGCTCATATAATCATGCTTAACTTTCAGAATATAAACTGATGCTCTAAATAAAACTAGCTATTGCACGAGGAAGCCGAGCCTGCCTCATTTTTAATCCCTTCTCCCAGGTCCCTACTACACTGCACTCAGTCCCTCGGGAACCAAGGCTCACAGGACTCACATTTTCGGACAGAGTCTTCAAAGCCAGTTATGCCTTCCAGGAGGTCCATGTTCTCATCCAGGGCTTGCTGTGGAAGAAATGATGCCCCGAGTGTTAACATGAGCACCATGACTCCCAGCATCACCCAGTACGAGTGTTAACATGAGCACCGTCACTCCCAGCATTCCCAGTATGAGTGCTGCTGCTGTTCTAGAGGCTGAGGCAGTAGGATCTCAAGTTCTGGGTCGGCAAGTGTGATCAGTCTGGGTGCAGGAGACCCTGTCTCCCTTTCTCTCTCTCTGGTTTAAGACAAGGTTTCTCTGGGCAGGCCTAGCTGTTCTAGAACTGGCTCTGAAAACCAGGCTGCCCTTGAACACAAAGAAATCCACCTGCCTCTGCCTGGCTGGGAAATCCAACAACCAAATCACAGAATGTAAATGTACATACACACACACACGCACACGCACACTGGTAGGTCATCTGTATGCTCTCCATGGCCTCTCCCTCAGCCATGAGGGTGTCCTCACTGCCCCTACCACCCACCACACCCTGTCCACTGCAGACCCTTCGTGCTGCTGTGTCTGGAGTCTCCTCTTTGCAGCTCATCCTTAGCCCCTCCAGGATTCTACTCTCAGTAGAGCAGGAGCAGGAGGAGGAAGGGCCGGCACTTTGGTGGAAGCCATCACTAAGGCGGGAGGGGAGACCTACAGGAGCAGAGTGACTGTCCTGGAGGCCTTGTGGCCCTGTCTGCACTGGAGACTGGACACCTGAAGGCTGAGGTCACTGCAGCTCTATCAGGAGCTGGCATATGCTGAAAGCTGGGCAGAGGACACTGCAGAACCCTCAGTGAACAAAGCAGTGTGGCTTCTAAGTCAGCAGGGGCGGAGGGGACACTGAGGAAGGAGACCCACAGCCCTTGACCTGAGCATTTAACATGAATTTCTGGGATGTAAGACTGTGTTTTGTATTATTTCTTCATGTTTTCAGCATGTAATTGTCTGACATTTCTATAGCCTTGCCTTGGATGGAGCAGGGGAGGGCCTCGAACCATGTCTCCATGTCTGGAGGAATGCAAAGGCTCACTGCAGACCTGGCATGGTGGAGGCCTTCTGTCCTCACCCAAAGTTGGCCTGAACTCTTCTTTTTCTAAACATTTATTTTAGAAGGCAAGATTTGGGGGCTACAAAGATGGCCCAGTGGTTAAACTCAGAGGTCCTGAGTTCAATTCCCAGTCACCACAGGTGGTTGGCTCTCAAACATCTGTAATGTTATTTGATGCCCTCTTCTGGTAGACAGGTGTACCTGCAGCTGGAGCACTCACATGTATAAAATAAGTAAGTAAATAAATCTTGCTGGGCAGTGGTGGCGCACGCCTTTAATCCCAGCACTTGGGAGGCAGAGGCAGGTGGATTTCTGAGTTCGAGGCCAGCCTGGTCTACAGAGTGAGTTCCAGGACAGCCAGGGCTACACAGAGAAACCCTGTCTTGAGGAAGAAAAAAAAATCTTTTTAAAAAAGGGCAAGATTTTATTTTATGTGTATGTGCGTGTATCTGTCTGTCACATGAGGATGTCTGAGTGGATGACCATGGTGGCCAGAAGAGGCTGCCCAACAAGGGTGCTGGAGCCAAACTCTACTCTGGTCCTTTTTAACGAAACACACACGAGCACACGCGCGCGCACACACGCACACGCATACGCATACACAAACATACACACACACACACACACATGCACACAATGTGTATGGGTGTTTTGCTGCATGTATGGCAGTGTACCAAGTGCATGGCAGTGTCCATGGAGGCCAGCAGAAGAACATGTTGGATCCCCTAGAACTGGAGTTACAGATAGTTTGAGGCACTCTCCTTCACTGCCCTGGCCCGGAGCTCTATCCTCCACCTCCTCAGCTCTGGTACTCAGGAACGGGCCACCAACCCAGCTTAGCTTGCCCCGGGTGTCTGTCCACGTGAAGGCTGGAAAGGCAGAGAGCTTGGAGTGGATCAGAGAGGGTTTGTTTTTAACTCAGGGCTCAGGACTCTGGGACAAGGTCAGCCTCGGCCATGCAGTCGATCCTGGCTCTGTGTGAAGATGACAAGTCCTGAGCACAGAGCCCGGGACCACTTGGCTACCGCTGACCTTGCTTGCTCGAGACAGGTTCTCATACACCTCAGGCTGGCCTCAAGCTCTCTGTGCAGCTGACAGTGGCCTCGGGCCTCCTGCCTCCACCTTCTAGAATGATAGGTGTGTGCTAATGTGCCAGGTTTATGAAGTGCGGGATGGGGGTGGCACTCAAGGCTCCCCACACACTAGGCATGTACTCTGGCGTCCCAGCCTGCACCCAAGACATTACCCAGAAGGCTTGAAAGTGGCAGGTCTCCAGCAGGTCCCCGAGGTACAAGATCTGTCGGATGGGCCGCTCTTCTTGCTGTCATCATGAAGTGTTAAGGAAGAGAACTGGGAACTGTGGTTCAGCAGGACAGTGCTCGAGTACCTGACTCACCCTCTACCCACCCTGCTTCCCAGCCCACGCATGCTGCTGCAAGGATACGTGTGCCTGGTCTATCATACATTTGCACAGAGTGAAGTCGGTGTGGGGCAGGTTGGTGAGGGCTTTCAGCAGAATCTGGGCAGTGACTGTGGTCTGGAAGAACGCTGGGTTAAACTGGTACCTGAGAACGACAAGAAGAGACATAGTATTAGTGGTGTCTTCCAAAGCTGGCTGTAGTGGCACATGCCTGCGACCTGAGGATCCAGGTGGACTGCAAGTTTGAGACCACTCTGGGCTATTTTTATACAAATGGATAAAATGATGATACCATGCTGGACAAGGGGCAAGGGTTCCAGTCTGGGGTTTGGAATCTAGAAATGTGTGAGCTCCAAAACCAATAAGTACATACCGAGAGACCTTGATTCAAAAAATAGAACACCAGCCGGGTGGTGGCGGCGCACGCCTTTAATCCCAGCACTTGGGAGGCAGAGGCAGGTGGATTTCTGAGTTCGAGGCCAGTCTGGTCTACAGAGTGAGTTCCAGGACAGCCAGGGCTACACAGAGAAACCCTGTCTCGAAGAATCAAAAAATAAAATAAAATAAACACTAAAACGAACTAAGCTGTACAGCTGGTAGTGTGTCAAGAAAGCACTGGAGGGCAACTAGGTGTGGTGGCACATGATTGTAATCACAGTACTTGCAAGTCTGAAGCAAAAGCACCCCGGGAGTTTAAGGCCAGCTTTAGCTATATAGTAAACTGCTGGGTGGGTCTCAGAGAAAGGCAAGCCTGACAGCACGTGTTCACAACGCCAGCACTTGGGAGGATGAGTGTTCAACGCCATCTTGATAGCAAGTTCAAAGCCACTGGCAACTACAGGACCTTGGCTAAAACAATTAAAAAAAATAAAAAATAAAAATTAACAAAATGCCAGGCGGTGGTGGCACACGCCTTTAATCCCAGTACTTGGGAGGCAGAGGCAGGCGGATTTCTGAGTTCGAGGCCAGCCTGGTCTACAGAGTGAGTTCCAGGACAGCCAAGGCTACACAGAGAAACCCTGTCTCGAAAAAATCAAAAAAAAAAAACAAAAACCAGAAAAAGGACCAGAGAGTTGGTTCAGCCAGTATAAACACTGTGTAAACTTACGGACCCAAGCTAAATCTCCTGGACTCATAAAAACAACCTTTAAAAAAAAAATTATTAATTAATTAATTTATTTTTTTTTTAAAGAACAAATGCTTCTTTTTTTTTTTAAAGATTTATTTATTTATTTTATTTATGAGTACACTGTAGCTGTCTTCAGACACACCAGAAGAGGGCATCGAATCTCATTACGGATGGTTGTGAGCCACCATGTGGTTGCTGGGATTTGAACTCAGGACCTCTGGAAGAGCAGTCAGTGCTCTTAACCGCTGAGCCATCTCTCCAGCCCTTATTAATTTATTTTATGTGAGTACGCTGTTGCTGTCTTCAGACACACCAGAAGAGGGCATCGGATCCCTTTATGGATGGTTGTGAGCCACCGTGTGGTTTCTAGGAGTTGAACTCAGGACCTCTGGAAGAGCAGTCAGGGGTCTTAACCACTGAGCCATCTCTCCAGCTCCCATAAAAACTGGCTTTAGGCTGGGCGGTGGTGGCACACGCCTTTAATCCCAGCACTTGGGAGGCAGAGGCAGGTGGATTTCTAAGTTCGAGGCTAGCCTGGTCTACAGAGTGAGTTCCAGGACAGCCAGGGCTACACAGAGAAACCCTGTCTCAAAAAAAAAACCCTGGTTTTAGTGAGTATATCTATAACCCTAGCACTGACATGGAGAGACAAGAAACAGAATCTTTTAGAAGTGTGTAGGCCAATCATCACTCAGAGGCATAAACTCAGAAAGACGGAAAAGGTCAGACATGGTGGCCCAAGCCTTTTAGTTCCAAGGCCACCCTGGTCTACATCAGTTTTGTTGAGTGCTAAGACTCAACAAAACAAAATGGTGGAAAGCAAGATCAATAGCTCTAAGTTGTCCTCGGACCCCCCACACTTGCCCCCTCACAAACATAAAACAAAATGACTTAAAAAAACAACAACCACAACAAATATTTCCGCCAGGCAGGCATGCCAGCTTATCTGAACTCCAGTCTCTGAAGGTGTTAAGAGAAGACCCCAAGAGCAAGCTGGTTAGCAAGACAAGCTGTGTAGGTGAATTCTGGGCTTAATAAGGCTCTGACTTTCAATAAGGTGGGAGAGGGACTGAAGATGGCTGGTTCCTGTTATTAACCTCCAGCCTCCACATGGCTGTGTGCACACACAGCCCCTCCGCACACACACTCATAAATACGGGAAAAGAATAAAGGAAAAATGCTGACCCACTGCTGAGAGGAAGACGCCTGGTACAGAAGAGCTTGTGCTATGTGGTTACACATAAGAGCAAGCAGGCCTGACCTACACTGACCTGGACTCAAGGGACCCACGGCCGGCATAAGGGCTCAGCAGTGCTTTACCTAAGCCAGGGGTTGACGGGGCAAAGCGTGTGAGCCGAGGGCCAGTGGAACTTATAGAACGAATGTCAAATGATAGAATTGTTTATTGATTATCTTCTATGTTTTTGGAATGAATTAAAGACAGAACAAAACAAAATCCTACTCAGGCCCTCTGAGCTTACACACCAAAGAGAAGTCACTTCCTGCAGCTTGCCCCAGGCACCTCTGCACCAAGCTCCCTATTCAGAGTGGCTGCCTGCTAGCTAGCTGTTGGCATAAGGGTGGGAAGGGGACAGACACTCACAGTTTCAGGACAGCCAGGTTGGCCTCCAGATCATAGGCATTCTCCTTGGCCTGTGTCTCCACATACCGCTCCAGGGTAGCCAAGTTCTCAGGATTGTACCTGGAAAAGCATCAAGATGGGTCAACAGCCTGGCATGGTGGCTACATGTCTGTCATCCCAGCACCTAGGAAGCTTGAGGCAGGACAGGAGGACTACAGGTTTGAAGTTAGTCTGGGATTTATAGTGAAAATCTGTCTCAGAAGGAAAAAGGGAGATAACTAGACAGACAGACAGACAGACAGACATGGGTAAACAGAGAGAAGACAAGAACAGAGGCCAGTCCTATTACAGGGCTTAGGGACCACTGAAATCACTCTCTTCCTTCCTACAGCTTTAATTCAGGCCTCCCTTTATTATTCTTTTAATAAAGCTACGTTCATTCGATCTTAAAAATAAATAATTTAGTCTCACCCACTGGAACTAGCCAGATAGCTGATCAACTAACTGTACAGCCTCCAGTAAATCTTGCTCACAACATGGACTTCTGGTTAGCCCTACTTGAGGCCCGGGTCATGTCTAGGATGCCTCCAGGCTCAGTCAGTCTCTGCAGCCCATATATGTTCCTGAACATCTTCTCTTGGATCCGATTCTGACCCATTTCCATCCTCTCCTGCCTAGCTTAATACGTGGCTTGCCCTAGCCAGGCCCTGATCGCTCCTTCCTGTCACTATCTTTTGAAAAGGGTTGTCGCCAGGATGGAAGGGGAATCTAGGTCCAGGAACGCAGGACCTGTGGCTGTTTCCATCACCTTCGGTACCCACTGGCCAAGTAGACAGCAGTGAACATTATGTAGAATGGTCCATAAGAAGGGCGGAGAAGGAAGAGACTAAGAGACACCGAGAGTCTGTGGCAGCAGAAAACGTAAAGTTGAGGGACGGAGAGAAACTTGGGAGAAACTCCACCTCTGGATGAGCGTGGAGCCCTGGCCACCCCTGGCTGGCTCCCCGTCTTCTCCACCCCGCTTGGCCAGAGCGCGCCCTCCAGCCGAGCTCAGACCTGTCGATACCCTTGAGCAACTTGCCCACGTTTGCCCTCATCTGCTCAAACATCGCCATGGTCACAGTCGCCTTCTGCAGCCCCAGCTGGAGTTGAACACCAGGGACCTCGCTTAGTACGCGAGGACCGGAAGAAAAAGACGTGCAGGAAGCGGAACCTACGTCACACCCTCTCTCCGGCTCCTACAAGGAAGGCAAAGGGAAGGGCGCTTCCGGCAGCCGCACCGACTTTTTTTTTCTACCACGTGATTTCCTCCCAGCGGGTGCAGTTTGCGCATGTGCACTGATCTCGCTGCAATGAGACCAATAGCGTGAGAAAAGGTTAAGTCGGCTTTACTACGTAGGCGCCAGGAGGCGGGGCTAAGCTTTTCCCGGGCCGCACAAACCTCGAATTTAAGCTTCCGACGCGCGTGCGCTGGAGTTGTAAGGAAAAGGCCGCTTAATTCTCTGCACGCATGCGTAGCTGTAAACCCGTATAGCCTCCTGAAGGGATACAGCTTCCTTTTCTTTTTGTTTTGTTTTTTGTTTTTCGAGACGGGGTTTCTCTGTGTAGTCCTGGCTGTCCTGGAACTCACTCTATAGACCAGGCTGGCCTCGAACTCAGAAATCCGCCTGCCTCTGCCTCCCAAGTGCTGGGATTAAAGGCGTGCGCCACCACTGCCCGGCCAGCTTCCTTTTCTTTTAGTTCAGTCGGGTGGGAAATGCTTTCTGAAGCCCTTCTTGTCTCCAGCTTGGGTGCCTGAGACAGCATCTCGTATCCTCTTTATCTTGCTATTAAGTCCCAAACTCTGGTTCCCACTCGCGTTCCGTGATGCTACAGTGTTAGGAGGAGGTCGAGAAGGCAAATGACACCCCTGTACCTGGCGGGATTACCGTGGCAGCCTGGAGTCTCAATCAGGCTCCGCGTAGGGGCTATTAACAAGTGTTCCACATCTGCCACCGTCTCTGAACACTTTGGAAGTGATGCACAGACATGTGCCATGTGGGCAGGTGCCCTGAGCTCAGCTGTCACTTAAGTCAAATGCATGTGTCACGAGTAAAAAGTCCTCTGTGCTACTCAGCCAGCTTTGTGCAGACCTGCAACCTCTGGCTTGACTCCAAATCTTCAAGTACCCAGCAGAGGTTCAACTGTAACCTGTGACTCCTCCCAAAATAGCAGAGTGTTGGGGAGAGGGTGCTAGGTCAGCCCCGGGTTGCATTTAAGAACTTTTGCATCTTATTTACATAGTGTCCTTCAGAGGGTAAAGGGGAGTCCCATGGGTCCTAAGGCAATCAAACTCTCAGAACTCAGGGGACGGGGGTGGAGCCCTCTGCGGAGCCCTCTGCACAACCCTGCAGCTGGGGCAGGAAGCGAGAGTGGGGAGGGGGAAGGCCACAGCCCACAGAGTCAAGGCGGGCCCAGGACTTGTGGAGACAGAGGGTAATACCAAAGCTTGATCCCTGAGGCCCTGTTGGCCCTCTGGGCACTGGCCCAGCCCCGGCCTCCAGGGATGGCCCTTGTGGACCCCGACATCTTTAATAAGGACCCTCGAGAACACTATGATCTACTGCAGAGACTGGGTGGTGGAACCTATGGGGAAGTATTCAAGGTGAGAAAGCCCTTCTGTCTCCTTCACCGTCAAACCTGGGATAGTTCGGGTGAGGCCGAGAGACAGGAGTGTAAGAGAATGCCAGGCCTTGGCCTTGGTTCAGAGATGCTGAGGATGGGCAAGCTATGGAGCCTGCCTGATGGCCAACTTCCCCTTTACAAGGCTCGCGACAAGGTGTCTAAGGACCTGGTGGCTTTGAAGATGGTGAAGATGGAGCCTGGTGAGAGTGCCCCCAGAAACTTCTTCCCCACCGTCCCTGCCCTGTACTTCCGGGGTCTGGGAAAGACTTTCTGTAAGCCCCTGCTTGTAGCTACCTTTTTTCTCCGGCCCCTCCTCACAGATGATGACGTTTCCACCCTTCAGAAGGAGATTCTCATGCTGAAAACTTGCCGGCACGCCAACATCGTGGCTTACCATGGCAGTTACCTCTGGTGATGTCTTAACCCATCCCCCAACCCCAGCTCCTTATTTCTGACCAGGCACCGGTAACCAGGTCCTCGGTCCTAAACTGTCATTTGTGACCCAGATACCCTAACTTAACCTCCAGCCTGAGGACTTTCACTTTTAATTGGGCCATCCCAGTCTGATTCCCAATCTGAAATTCTGCCTTTCTTACTGACCACCCACTAATTCAAGGGCTAATCTAGAACCTTCTTTGTTGTAATCAAACCTCTCACTGGTTTTCTCCCTGCATCCACTATTTTTACTCTGCTTCTTTAATATGAATCCTCAAATTCTTTGGCTCTCAAGATAATATCTCAGCTGCCCCAATAATGACATCCATTCCTCAAACCCGAGATTCTTTTGTCTTGTCTGCTTCTCCGTGAGTTACCTACCCTGTCCCCTAAATTACCATGGGATGGCAGTGGGGTGCCCTTGGGTTGGAACCTGAATACCTAAAAATTGCTGTGGAATGCATACTTCCTGGCCTATCCTTAACTTTCTCGGTCGTGAGAACAGGACACCCTGTGGTGGGCAGGGTGAGTGAGATAGCCCTGGAAGGTCTCACTACCATCGTAATCCCTGCTCTCTTGACCCCGTATAGGCTGCAGAAGCTATGGATATGCATGGAATTCTGTGGAGCCGGTTCTCTCCAGGACATCTACCAAGGTTAGAAGGACAAGAGGACATAGGCCCCCTCTACCACCAGTCCACCTCTCCTGTCTCTCTGTGCTTGTATTCTGGGAGCTACCTTCCTGCTCCACACCACACGACTAGCCCATCCATGAATGGATGATGCCGGGGACCCCGTGATAGCCCTACCCTCCAGCACCTGTGGGTCTTACCTGTCCTTTCCCAGGCAATAATGCCCTTCACTTCTATGCCTCTATCTTTGTCTGGATGTTTAGATTTTCTTGCTAGAAATTATTCCTGGGTTGGGGTGTTTTTGCATTTTCTTTCTTCTCTTTTGAGATGGGCTTCTCACTATGTAGTCCTGGCCTGTTTCCAACTCAAAAGAATTCTGCCTACTTCTTCCACCCCTGGTGTTGAGATTCAAGGCACGGGCTACGCCTGGCCTTTTCTGCGTTCTCTAACTCAGATTAGTTGCCCAGATTTTTGGACAGGCTGTCAGTGAGTTTCTGGGTCTAGCCTGTGGAATTTGAGGGTAGGAGTCACATAGGCCTCTCATCCCTTCTGAGTCTCTCTCTCTGTGTCTCTGTGTGTGTGTGTCTCTGTCTGTCTCTCTCTGTCTCTCTCTCTCTCTCACACACACGCACACACTTTTTTTTGCTATAGTATGTTTTGAACCTAGAGTCTTATGTTTCCTAGGCAAGCACTCTGAGCTATATCCCTAATACCTACCCCCTTTTAAGATTAATTAATTTATTCTTTGAGGGTTTAATTTAAACTTCAATTAATTAATTTATCTATTCTTCAATAATTATAGGTATACAATACATTTTTAAAACATCCATTCAATTTCTTGTAGATGTTTTCCAACCTTCTTTTTACTTATTATTTTGTGACAGAGTCTCAACGAGTTACCTGGGCTGGCCTTGAACTTACAATCTCACTGTCTTAGCCTTCTCAGTAGCTAGGACGACCAATCTACTGCAACCAGGCCCTACACCTCAGCCTTCTCTGAAGTTCTGGTATCCACCTGTCTGACTCTCTCTTACCTGCTCAAGCCCAAGATTTCAAATGTCCGAAAAGGTCTCTTGCTATAGCTCAGTGGTAGAATGCTTGCCTGGTAGGGATAGATTGAGGCCCTGGGTTCCATCCGGGTCACACAAAACCTCCCCCAGAACGGGAAACTGAGGCCAATGGGCAGGAAGTGACTCACCCAGCCATCGTGTAAGTCCCGTTATCTGCCCAACACCCTCTGTCCCATCTTTCTCTTGTCCCTTCACTAACCCTGCTTGTCTTCCAAAATACGTCTATCTCCCTATATTTGGTATCTGCTCATCTGTCTCTGCTCGTCTGTCTGTCTGTCTGTCTGTCTGTCTCTATACCTCTGCCATTGTTCATTTAGCCTGCCCTCACATCACCACATTCAGAGACTCCCTCGTCTCCCATAGTCCTCCAGGGAGAAGCTGTGTATTCTGCATGGCCCTGACCACTGCCCCCTGCTTCCGGCCCTTGCTCCTTTTCTCCTGCAGAGTGGGACCCATCACAGCCCTGCTTGGCTTCTCACGGTAGCCTTGCTGACCAGCATGTGTCGAATGTCATTGCCCTTCCCACACATAGTTCCTGTTGTTGTTTCTGGCTCTGTTTCTTCTTACCAATTACTAGCATATTAACACCTTACGTTATATGTTTTTCGTTATTTCTTATTTGTTTTTGAAATAGCAGGAGGTCCAGCACTGAGCTATTCCTCCAGCCTTTCCATCTTATTTTTTTTTTCTTTTTGGTTTTTCGAGACAGGGTTTCTCTGTATAGTCCTGGCTGTCCTGGAACTCACTCTGTAGACCAGGCTGTCCTCGAACTCAGAAATCCACCTGCCTCTGCCTCCCAAGTGCTGGGATTAAAGGTGTGCGCCACCACCGCCTGGCATTCTTGGTTATTTTGGAAACAAATCTCTCTACGTAGCCTTGACTGGCCGGTATATTGATATATAGCTGAGGCTAGCCTCAAACTCAGGCCAGCCCTCCTGCCTCAGCCTTCCAAGTAATTGGATTACAGGCGAGAGCAGCTACCTTTCAGGCGGCTACTACCCTCTCTCTTCCCTTTGTGGCTGCTCATCTAAAGTCTCCTCCCTCTTTGGACATCCTATCAGATGTCATGGGTGGAGGGAGGCTGGGGACAGAGAGCCAGCATTCTTGACTCTTCTCCCGACACCTGGCCTGGCTGGGATGACTTTTGCAGTGACTGGCTCTCTGTCTGAGCTCCAGATCAGCTATGTGTGCCGGGAAGTGCTTCAGGTGAGAAGGGGCTAGGGGACTCCCTAAGCAAGCAGAGCTTTTGCAAGGCAAAAGGTGCTCACCAGAGCCACTGCTTGCCTGTTTCCAGGGACTGGCCTACCTGCATTCAGAGAAGAAGATACATCGAGACATCAAGGTATACTGGGGACAGGGGTGCCTCCGAGGGAGGGAGGGAGGAGTCA